CAATTCCAATATTTAGGCTGAAATGTAGTTTTACTTGACTAAATCACACCACCACCTTCACTCTCAACAGAACTTCCCCCCCTCCCCACCGTGTATACTCGGCAACTCCATCTATTTAGGTCAGGGGTGCACAACCTCTGCCCCACAGGCCAGATACAGCCCCCAGAGCTGTGTCATCCAACCCACAGTGCTCCCCATGGGTCCAAAAATAATGCTGTCACTGCTTCCCCACAGTCATAACTGCTGTTCTCCCATGGCCCTGCACACTAGATCACACATGCTGAGCAGCACAGCGCCCAATCCCAACACCCAGGGGCAATGCAGGGCTCAATCCTAATGAGTGAGGGCTGCATAGGAGCCCAATCTCAGTGGGCAGGACCAAATCCAGACACGAGACCAGTTGGCGGCAACATGGGGTCCAATCCTGGTGCACACAGTATGGAACACACTATCACACACACCAGCGTCAAACTGCTCATCTGGCCCATGGGGCCAAAGGTTGAGCACCACTGATCTACGCGATCAAGTTCTCCAGCTTTTGGTTCCTGTCAGTACCGCTGAGTCAGTACATTAAGAAAACATACTGGACATCTTATTTCTTGTGCAATGGAATTATTTATTAAACCCTTAATTAAGCCATTGAAAATGGCTTGCAGAGATGCACAGATGTCAGAGGGCTTAATGCTGATGGGAGAACCTTAGTTACCGGTAATAATGTGCAAAGAGTAAGAATTCAGTTTCTCTCTCAGATTTTGGTCTATGTTCTCTAGACTGGCAGTTTGAAAATTAGAAACCAGCTTAGAACTTCACAATGACATTTTTAGTCACTTCCCAGAGTGAAACCATATTTTAAATACTTTAACTTGTTATGTACTTTAGCCTTCAATAGGGACAAGTGCCTTGGTTCATTATGAGTCAACTTTGCTTAAATCCAAATATGAAACTCTCAGCCAGGGATAGAAATTATGCCAAATACCCAGGATCAGGGTAACCTGAGAACTGCAGCCACCCTTCTGTAGGACCCTGACAACTCTGTATCTATCTACAACATTTTACATACATACCTACCTAATCCCCAAAATGCCCAGAATACAATCTCCCCCTAAAGTTGTAATGAGTCTGCTACTGGCATGAGATGTAGGCAAGAATAAAAAAAACCATTACTTAAGAGATGCATGAGACAGTCTAATGGCTGTAAACTAACTACTTAAAAAAAAATCCTCAATAACCTTGGGGTTTTTTTACCTTGATTAGCTAACATGCATAAACTAAACCATAAGGAACACATACTAAAACGATGAGACACTTTAGCTCATGCATATTACCTACTTCAAGGTTAAAAAAAATAAAACTCTTTTAGCAAAGGCAAGCCCTAAAAGTACTGAATCCCTGTACAGAGGTAGTAAAACATGTAGTAGCATTGGTAGAACATGTTTAAACAGAGATGATTTACTGCCTGCACAGTAGATGTGCCAAGCCATTACAGTTTTGTCCCATATTCACACCACTGCTGCCCTGAACTGCTTCACCTGCAGTAACTTCTACCCAAACACCTACCCAATAGGTCTCATCACAGCAGATTGAGGGAATGAATAGCTATTGTGGGACAGGACCAGATGGAATATCTGGATGGAATATTTTAGTACTGTCCACACTGATCCCATATGTAGATTTGCTTCAATATTTGTCAGGCATGTAAAAACTGTTTAGAACACTTGTACATGGACACAAATGTTTTAAAAGCGTACCAAGGACTAAGCAGTTCTTAGTACAATAAGTTTGTTTAGTAAAGATAAAGCTTCGGGAGAATTTGCTTAGTCTCTCCAACTCCTGGACAGACCAGGCCCAGTCAGTGAAAAACCAGTACTTAAGCAGAAAGACACCAAAAAGCCCACCTGTTGAAACCCAGTGATCCAACAATCTATATACGCAAGGGAGTTTCATAGGCTTACTTTATCAAGGTCCAAATTCCATCTTGGTGTAACTCTTCTAAGTGGTAATATGCCACAACAATTGCTAAGGTCATATTATGATACTGTTTTTGATTCATGTTCCTCAGACTTGCCTGGCAACAGAATGACAGGTGCATGATGTCCACCTTCCCACATCACTTCCGCTTTCTAATTAAAACTCTCAGTTATTGGAAGGTAATTTAAAAATGGAATTAAGCCATGGGAGAGGAAGAGCAGTAGGAAGTTTGAGTACATAATTATGCACATGGATTAAGGGAATTTAGGACTATGTTTTCTCCTAGAAGTTTTCTTTTCCAGTTCAAACTGAGCCACTAAGAGGAGGCACTGATAACCAGATACTTGTTTTTATAAAAGATAACAGGGATGCATGAGGGAAAATGTGGCAAATGCACAAACAGGAAAATATGTGCAAAAGCACTCCCAGTTTAAAAAGCCTCAAGATAGGCCCCAATCTAACCTGCCAATCTAGAGGTTTTCCATCACATTTGAAATAAGCTGGACAAGGTTCTCCCAAACACAGACACCCCAAAAAGTTTCTCAAAGTTCAAGAAATTCAGTAAGTTGCTTTTGGCATAAAAGGCAAGACGGAAAAAACTAACGTACTGAATATATCCAGCTGAGATCTCCTACTTAGAAATAATCACTCTCTAAAACTTCATAATATTAATATTAAAATGGTCATAGACAGCAATAAGCTTGAAAGACCATTTTAATAGGCACGTATATACACACTGGGGAAATTCTGACCAAAATTCTAAGTGGGCAACCAACTAGGGCTGTAACATAAATCCTATTCAAGTGGTCAGATATGATTTACTAAGCCAGTAAATTAGCACCCTGCCAAACTCCTTTCAGACATTCTGCTTCTAGGTTGTGTGAAGAAACACAGAATATATGCACACACAAGGCACTCCAAAGGACACAGATGAGAACTATGCTAGCTTGGACGCAGGGTAACAGTTGCAAAGAATTTGGGCATCCATGCTGCCATACTATACTCTTTGTACTTAAACTGACCCTATTAAAGACTAAGTTGCAAGCAGTTCTGTTGTGTAACAGGCCTACAGGTTTAGCAAAGTTATATCACAAAAGCATAAACATTAAAACAGCAACTGTAAAACTACTTGGATCCTCACTGTTCACACACTCCAACCCAAGTCCATCCAAAGTCTCCTGACCGCAGAAAGCTCATCTGAGGTCTCCACTACTTCTCCCTTGTCTCTACACCCTGACTATACTGATGGAAGAGAGAGCAGCAGCTTTGCTAGTTTAAGGGCTTTTTTCTACACCATAGCATTTACTAGAGTAGCTATTTCAGGTTTTCATATGGAGACCAACCATAACTCATCTCCCTTTGAGTCCCTACCCCCCTCCTCAGAAAACAAATTTCATTTCCTTTCTTTTTTTTCCTAACAATAACTACCTGTACCTTTAGCTTCTTTCCTGATTTAGTTTTAGTGAAATCCCTCCTTTTTAAATGTATGAGACTTAATTGAGCATCCATCTGCTATTGTTTTATAATTAAAAGCATTTTGGATTTTGTGGTCACTGAAAGTGAAACAGTGTATTACAGCTGGCTCCAGTAATCTGAGCTCTCTCTCATTTGTTTGTTTGTTTGTTTGAGGGCATCAATACAAGTTTGGATTTAAGCATAAATTTCCTATATTTGAAATTTGCGTAAACCATTAGAGTCAGAGAATTTAGTTGCGATTCCAGTTTAAAGTTAGGTATTTATATGTAAAGATTTTCTTCTCAATGATCTCTAAAGGTCTGCAAGGAAGCAGCCCTATTGATGTGCACCTGTTAAACTGGGAAAACATCACCTTTTGTAGGGTCTTGAAAGACATGGTAGGAGGCGGTATACCTTCCTGAGAATATGAATGCTAGGGATGGGAGGGAAATTTCCTCCTCTTTTCCTATAACTTTCTAGAAATCCATTTCCAGGGGGATGGAGGGTGGGGGCACTTTCCAGGAAGTGGATGTCTACCAAGGTAACTGCATCACCTCCATGACAAGACCACGGGTTTCCCAAACAGGAAGAGAGCAAAACCTCACAGAGCTCATACCAGTTTGGCTCATTACCTTATTTTTAGTAGCAGGCTTTTTGATTCTTTCTTTAAAAGAAAAAAAGAAAGCAAATGCACACAACCAACCCAAAACCAGGCACTGCTTCCCTCTACAGGGGATCAGGGACAGATCTGAGCAGCAAGGTGGGCACCCAAGATGTATGCGAACTCGGGGCAGAGGAGGGACTTCCACAGTTACATCCCTGTCACTTCCCCTGTGGATACTCTCACTCCAAAAGCATTATCCCTGAGAGCTTTACACCTGTGACCCCCCTGGCAAGAGGCAGCCTTTGGGAAGACCCCCGTTTCTGCGCTGGTTGTGTTTGGGGGCTTCGCTTTATACAGGGAGCCATGGCACTGGTGGGGAGGGTGCCAGGCTCCTTCAGCACTGCCAAGTGGGCAGAGGCAATTCGCAAGCTCAACCCAGCCCTTCCCAACACGAACCCCGAGCACGGCAGATAGCTGGGCCAGGCCGGAGCTCTCCCTGAGCCACCCAAGAGCTGTCCCCGTCTCTCTCACACTATGAAAAACACCAAACGGGGGGGGGAGAGGGGGCGCATCCCCCCAGGCTCTCCCGAGGGCTGCCCCGAGCCTACTGCTTCCCAGCCCCCGGCACCCGCTGCCCCACACCACACGCCTGCCGCGCCCCTCACGCCACTGCCCCCCACCCCTAAGGGGGGGCCACACGAGGGGCGGGGGGCGGCGCTGCCCCGCGGGGCCCCTGGTTCCGCCTCTGAGGGGAAGCAAACCCGGCCCCCTCCCGCTGTCAGGCCCGGCGGCGGGCAGCATCGGCCATCGACTCCCCG